CGGAGGGCCGGGGGCAGGCCCAGCCTCAACCTCCCGACGCTGAGGCCGAGCATCAGCTTCAAAAAAAAAAAAAAAAAAAAAAGGAGAAGCTGCAAATTAAACTAGAGCTTGCAAGTAAAGGACAGAACTTGTTAAGGTAGAATTGTCACTGCAGAAGCGGTAAAGAAGCTGTACAGAGCTTCCTGGGTGGCGAGGGCCGCTCCCGCGGCCTGGCCTCTGCCTCCCATTTGCCTGCTACAGACTTGGATAAACTTTAAAATGAAGGAACAGCAGCTTATTCGGCTACTTTTGAACTGTGGAAAAAGCAAAAATAATGCAGTGAGGGTGCGTGTACGTACGACTGATGGAAATCAAACCTCTGAAGTGCAGATGACTTTAATTATAGCTAGAAGAGCACGTAAGGTGCAAGTTTCAGCTTGATAGTTTCCGTTCTGATCTTAAATTCTGTACTGATGAAAATAGCCTCTGTCTAGCTGAAAAAAAAAATAAATTACAAATTGTCTTATTTTTTTTTTACAGCAGTTGGGACACTACTGACCCTCAGCAACAGATTCTCAATATACACAAGGAGAAGTTATACCGTACCTGTATGAACTAAGACATCACCAGCTTTCGCAAGTGCACTCCCTCCGCATGCCTTTCACGGTAAGGCACCCACTGAGGGGACAGGAGTAGTGAACAACGCTATGGATTTCTCCCCCACCCCAGCCAGGTTTTCTTTGAAAGAGGACCTAACTTCTAGCAGGTTTTAAGACGTGCATGTGAACTCGCAGAACGCATTTGACAAAGCCTCGTGAGCGATCCGCCAACTTCTGGCAGATGCAAACTATATCACATATCGGCTTTTACCCCTTCCACTGTGCAATACTCACAGCTACTGTGAACGCTAAGATGAGAATATAACGTGTATTAGTAACTAGATCACACATTTGTTCCCACAACGTATTCATTTTATTGTATCTGTTGACCTATATTAGTGAAATGATGCAAGGATTAAGGCTTTAAAACATCTTCAGTGGAAAGTGCTATTTTAACATCTGACGCATTTTGGCAGTTTCAAGTGCAGTAAAGTCAAGCTTCTCCAACCCTAACACAGTGTTTGACTGCCTCTCTTTCTACCCTAAGTGTTTTTTATCCATATAAACGCTACTAAAACCACATGGAAAACCGTACCTTTAAACTTCATGTAATTCCTAGTTATTTTACACATATAAAAACCTCAACAACACAAAACTCCTCTTCATGTACCTGTTCGCATAGCCATATTTGAAAGAAGTTTTGTATTCTTTTGTGTTCTTTAAGCTATTGTTTAGAGAAACTGGTGTTTCATTTCACAGTTAAAAGAACTTAATTACTTGACTGGTGGAGACATGAAAGGCAAGGGAAGGAAAGAAAACATCTCTCATTTTAAACTCTTCTTCTACAAGCTAATTTGATAGTATAACTTGAAAGTACAGAAATCTGAAATCTACTTCTGAGCATTTGAAACTTCACATCTTTTTACCTCCGTCTCAAGAGATATTACTCAGGTTCAGTGTGACATTTTGAAATGTCACCATCCCTGTCTCAAAACTAGAAGTTTTAACGCAGAATAGACACCTACCTGCTTTAATTCAGACATCTGTACTGTATGTCATGTCTATATACTAAGAACTTCTGTGCATACCCTTTCTCATCCTAAGGAAAGAAAAAAAAAATCACTTTCGGAATCTCTTTCCTGTCCAAATAAACAGGGACTGCTAAAATCAATGGCTAACATCACCTTTCAAAAGCCTTATTATTCTGATACAGCCAAAAATTTTGAATCAAAAATGGGGTTTTTTTGGGGAAACATTTTCCCCGAAATACACTTTTGCCACGTCAAGAAAATAACATTGTTTTCTCAGTAAAGACAGAGTAATTTTGGTTTTGCTGGAAGGCTGAAGTTGGGAAAAATGGTAGTACTTGCCAGAGATCCACTCAATCTCCACATTTCATCCATTCACAGCACCAGAACACCACCACTCAGGGGAGCCCTCATGGTCACTAACACAGTTCTCTTTCTGGCATAATTTGATAATCATCAATATTAATATTAGACTTATTCAAGTATGTAACCAGTTTTAACATCTATATGTGGTAGCAGATTAATACACACATTCTGTAAGCTACTGCTAAATTTGCAAGCAAATTAACATCTAGGTTTCTTTGGAGAGTTTAAAATCATTACATGTAAAAATGTTAAATTTGGAAAGTACCTATGAAAGGTATTAAACTATCCTTTTCTTGTCCAGTCCCTCGGTTTGGTAAATTATCACTGGCACGTTGTGAAATTTGCTTAAAACATTCTCTAATGTGAATAGTAATTTTTTTAGCCCTAGAAGTCTTCTAAGAGTGCACTAATACACTTATACAGCCAAGATGCAGATTTTCCTAAATATCAAAACTAAAAAAGCACCAGCTGCCCTCAGTGTCAGAAATAAAAGTAGCTCAATAGTTGTCCTTTCCATACATTTATTAATGGCTAGTTCATACCGCATGTTCCTGTGCCTGGTATATCCTTAAGACTTAGTCTTTCATCACATTCCCACAAGATTTCCCAATCACTCCAATACACGTACTGAGCATTATTTGTGTTTCTGCCGCTAAGGCAATCCCCATACCAGCCCAAATCTCTCCTTTCTGCACAGGTGTGTTCAGACTTTCCCTCTCCCCCCCAATATTCCATGTGAGAACTGCTGCTCCTGCAGGCAAACAATTCCCCTCCTTTCCTGAATTTTTTGTACCTAATGGGAACCCAGGATTACACGTGCTTTAGCAGCATAACACACAATTGTATGAGCTCTATTTAGTTCTCAGCAGAAATCCTTCTCCTTAGCCCCTATGCCCACTCTGTAGATTCAGTTCAACACCTTTCTCCATTTTTCAGGGTTACTGGTCCTTCAGATGTCAAGTTCACATTCTTCCCCATAGTGGCAATATCATCCAACTTTTTACCAGCACAAATTAATTTTATTTAGTATGGTCCTATTTTTTTTTTCCCCCCAAAGAATTCATGGAAATTAATTTAAAACTAAAAAAAACACCCCAGTTTCTGGCTCTTAATGAAAGGGCACCATCTTCTGTGCTGACCGACAACCAGTGGTATCAAAGAAATCATTGGAAAATTAACTTTCTTCACAGAACACTCAAAAATGGAGGTAGTCATTGGCAAACAACATGAAATACAGTGGTGACAGCAACAAGCTCTGTGTTTTGCACTTTTTAAAAAACTGTCACTTCACTTGCTCACCAGATACACTTACATTCTAAACACAGAGGAGTGCATGCATGTGTATTTTGCACTTTTACTTAGCATTGAAATTAATTTAGTGAGCACTATGGTAGGTTCTGACCAATTTAGACCAAACCTGTTTTTTCCAGAAGTTACGGCTTTTCAAAGTGAAGAAAAGTACTTAATTAAGACACAACCACCTTCTGTTGCTATTGTTGTTCACACACAAAGTAAAAAACCCTACGGAAAATGTGATTTAAGTCAGGTAAAGCAAAGACGCCACTTCATTTTTGTGATAATGTGCTTTTGTTTAGATGTTTCACCCAACCAGCTCTTTAAGGAGCTCCTACTTCTTAAGTATTAATTAAATGTTTTTGTCACTGCATGACAAAGATCCTTATTTAGCTGGAAATAAAGACAGACTCAAACTTTGTTTTATTTTTTAATAAAATTTAAATAATTAAAATAAGAGGAAAGAGTATGTTTTAAAGCCAAGCTACTTCTTTGTTCCATGCTGGGCCTCAAAAGTTGGATTTAATAGCAAATATGGGCCACGAGAAGAGTGCTGTATACTTAAAATGCTGGTGTAGAATATATTAAAATAGCCAGTGACTCACTCCAGCTTACCTTAAAACAAAGGAAACACAATCTTTACAGTTTAAATGTACTGCCTCTTATCCTGATTAATGGAAAAATTATTCCTACAAAAGACTTTTTTTTAATATGAAGACTCTACAAAATATTTGCTTTATCCATTGGCAGGACTTTGAAATTCTCCAGAATATTTAGATGTGTCTGCCTAAGAAAGTTTATAAATGCCAATCCAACACTGTAACAAAAATTCCAAACAGGACTGGAAATTAGAATAACTCAACCAAATCATCCCACTATAAGAATATTGTATTTCAATTCTGCATAAACACAGATCAGCATGGTTTGTTTCGTTTTAAAAATTCTTCATGACCCGCAGAATACAGCATAGGTTTATTTCACTATTACCTCTTCCCTTCTATTTCCTTAATGCTATTTCCCCATTTACATTTAAAGCACTGTCTAATTTGTTCTACTGACTTCTTCTGCCCCTAGGGCTTTTTTAGCCTCAATTCTGTCCTCACCCAAGGAGATCCTTCCCCTCTTCTTCTTAAACAGGTTTTTGTTTGTTTGATTGTTTTTCATTTTCTTATTTTTCAGATACAGGTAAGTATCCTACCATACAGGGAGCATGGGAACAGCACTGGGAGTTACCAGGATATTTGCAAGCCAAGACCTGCAACAGCTAGTATTTTTTGAAAGAAAAATGTCATGCTTTCTTTATATTTGATAATATTTGACATATTTGATAATATGTCTACTATAAACATAGTCTTGTGCCACAAACAACCACAAACTGCAGACAAAGCAATATGGCAGGCTGTTTGATGAATTCAGCGTAACACAAAAAAAAATGGTGGAGTCCCAGTAGCAGCTGCAATGGTAACAAACATTTAGAAACCAAAGCAATCCAATAACCTAAAAATACATCTGCTAAACTAAGGAAAAAGTCTGTGCGATGAGATTAGAAGCTTCCAAATTTCAGACTGATTGCTCAGGGACCACAGTAGAAAACTAAACTCAGATGTAAGGAAGTATTAGCTTGGAAAAGCTTCAGCCTTCAAAAATTCAAATTATTAAAAAGCAATACATCTGTTCATCATTCTATGATTTAACTGTTTTCTAGTCTATGGGAATAAACAGCGGGATACAATAGTTTGCAACATCCGTTTACTTTTTTTTTTAAAAAAAACCTTTTTAAACTAAATTAAGAAAATACTCTTACAGAAAAAAAATAGATGAGCACAAAGAAATGCCATGACAAATCCTGAGACAAATTATCCTATATCATTGCTAGTCTATGAAAACTGGTTTGAATAATAAACATACTGGAGTATTCAGTGACAGCATACAAATCGAAAGTATTTGTAAATTATTAAGTTGTGCATGTTTTTAAATGACAAAACATGCTCACGGGTTTACTTTAAAATCTCTCACTGCTTGTTATCAAAGTTAAAAGATCATTTGCATACCAATACACATACTGTAAACATGAACTTCTCATTAAGGAAAGATGGGTTTACAGTAATTTGATCTTTTACAGAAAGCTATTGGTAACCGAATCTCTCAGTGTCTAACTTTCTAGAAAATTAAACCAATGTTTCCACTCTCAAAGTTGAAACACTACCGCTTTAGGAAACAGCCCTGTTTATTTGTTAATCAGAAATACAATCAAGTGGCATATTTCCATTTGCTCTTCGGCTGACAGTTTCAGCTTCATTATACTTTACAAGAAAACAGCAGACTCGCAGAGGTCCTGTAAATTCTTTCATATCACAACTGATTTAATTACAGCGGTGAAGAAAAGCAGCGGTGATGCAAAATAAGATCAGCCCAATTGCCCTTATCTGATCTCTCTTCCTGTTTGGCTTGCAGCAGTGAGGACTTCTTGTTTTGTTTCGTTTTTTGTTGGGGTTTTTTTTCTGGTCAGGCTGCCTCTGTCAAGACTGACAGACGCAAGAAGTTGACATGCCCTTATAATTCCAGCTTGAGAATGATCCTCATACCAATATAGCCGAGTTTCAATCAGTAGGTCGGGGAATGATACTAATGTGGAGAAAATTATCTGGATAGCTCATATGTTCGCTTAGCCACTGTATGGGTGTTTCCAGCATTGGCTCAATTCCATGAATCATCACTTGAGTCTTCTGCTCTCCATCTAATTCAAAGAAAAAGAGAAACCACTAGTATACCATTCAAAGTTCACAGAAAGATTAAACATTTACTTGTACTTAATTTACGGTAGATTTAATTGGTGTTACAGAGTTTATATTTAACAGAACGAAAAGCAGGAAATATCGGTATGGAGAAAGCTGAGATTTCTATCATCCAAAACAGAAACTTTGAGTTAAAATTAATGCCAAGAAAAAAATGGGTTAAAATGAAACTTAATGAAAGTGCCACTCTTCCTTATTAGTTGCAATTTTTTTTTTTTTTCCTACAGTGATCACAGCTCGGTGTCAACACAGTTACGGCGTATCCATCTCACCCGGCTATAATCTATGTGAATTTTACACAGATCATGCTGAAGATGTTGAGCTTCCTAGAATGTGCTAATAAAGTTGTATTCTTAATATTGTGATCTTCTGAAAAAGCTGGACTACGTGTAGTATGTCACACATATAACAGATGCAATATTCCTGAAGTAATTTTGTTTTGCTAAGAATAATTTTCTTAAGTCTCTAGCAATATTTCAGAGTTACTCAGAAGGCTGAGTTGGGACCAGCTTTTTCTCACTTAGTTTCATCTCCTGGAAAAGATAAGTTAGCAAATGATTCCCAGTATGACAAGAATATTTTCTAAGAATATTTCAATTCTTTTTATTTATACTTGTCCCGAAGGATGCAAGTACTTTGATCCTTTGATTCAAATGATGGGAACCAGCTAAAGCAACTGACATAACTGTCATGAAATGAACTAAAAAAAACCCCCAAAACTGAAAATTTATTTCAGAGCCTTGAGATGAGAAGAGCATCTGAAATATGTTCCAAGTAATGGTTAGGGGGGAAAAAAAGTAGGCAGTGAAGTTTTACTGTTTTTATACCATACTCTGGCATTCTCACATGGACCTACCACAGTGAAATCCACATTCAGTGCTCAAAAATATCACTGCCATCTCTAATTGGCATTTTGTCCTGTGTCCATCCGCCCCCCCCGCTGTCTTTATTACAGGACAAACCACCATGCTGCCCTAGAGTTGCATGGAAGAGGACAGAATCTAGAAGGGAAGGTACCATTACCATTTCCTTCATTCAGCTCCCCCCGCTGTAGCACAATTCCTATTTTATAACATAGATAAATTCTTATTTGTTTGGTAACCAAAATGATTTGACAGCTGCCTAAAGAAGTTTGTATTATAACTGGGTATCTATGCCAGCACAGGCTAAATTAGAATAGGAAGAATCATCCTTGAATCTCCTGTTGTCTTTAGGCTAGTAATAATTCTTCCTGCAGAAGCAGACAGTTATGTTTGCCTAAAATAAAGCATTATACATTAGTTACATACATATGGTATCACATTCTGCACAAATTCTGGATTAAACAGATAAAGCTTGATTCTCTAAATGGCATAATATACACATTATCACAGTAAATTAAGGATAAACAATTGTTGGTTTCCAGTTTTATTGCAGACAGGTCAAAAGAATGCAGCACGTCATTTAAAAATAAACTTCTGTTTTCCAAGCAAAGCAGGTATTTACTGGGCTGAAATATCACCAGTCAGAGTGTCAAGAGTATAAACTCCAATATAAGAGATCTCAGAAACCGAGTTTTTGTACTGAGAAGTTAGGGAACATCGAAATATTTTTAATATTAAAGTAACTCTAAATTATATGATTTAGCACTTTCAAATTAAAATCTATCTATGGCATTCCATAAATTGGCTACTGAGTTGGTGACCTTTATTTACATTTCATAATATTATTTAATTTTCAGAAGCAACTAATTTGCATACGCAGATAGCAGAATGCTGTTTCGGCATTAGCACTGTGCTAGCCATCTACACATAGCTGACTCTTCTTAGCAAAAACCTGTACAAAAAAATAGGTTAAAAGCTTTAGAACTTCATTATCATTTTCGTGTCATTGGAGGAAAGGCTTATAAATGGTAAACACTTTGACTTTTCTTTTACTGTGTGACAGAACATTTTTGGATGTGTGTGCACATGTGTACTAACTTGAAGCCTCTTGCTTAAAAATAAAATGCAGTTAATCCCAGTGTCCCCCATTCCCTGCTCCCTACCCAACTTTGTCCCTTTCTCATACAAATATTTTATTCTGTTCCTTAGCAAACTGAGAAAGTCTCAGAGGTCAATAAAGAATTTAAGGTTTAATTAAAGTCTAAATCTCTGCATTAGCATTGTTTGTGCCTTAGTATTATCTCTGACAAAGCATCACTTCTCCCTAATTCCTTTTCCCCTTGAGGCTTGACTAAAGAGATCTTATCTACCAATTCTGTATTTACTGTAACCTTCATTCACTTAATCCATTGTTTTTACTTCAGCATTCTTCCCTCCTTTGGTTACTAGGGACCATAAACTCTCACTTAAGTCACATTTACCCAAACTTTCCTCAACTTTCATGTTTTCAGTGACTTCCCCATTTAGAATGACATCCAGAGTCTCTCTCCTATAGATGGCTCCTCCGCTTTATGTAGCAAAAAGTTGTCAACAGCAAATACACTAGAAAAATTACTGGAAAATATTCTTGTTTTCTCAACAGCCGTGTAATTTGTATCCACCACTACCACTGTGATCTGGGTTCTGGATGATTTGTTAGCTATCATAAAAGTTTCATCCGCCTGGTTTATAGATATAAGAGATTTACATAATATTTTTCTTTCCATTACTGTTCATAGTCTTAGGAGAGTTGTGGCTTATTTTGTATGCATCTTGACACACCAAGCAGTGTCCTCTTCTTCTCCCCCTCATATTCTATGATAACAAAAAGTCTTTTTGAGGCTGGCATAATGCTTTTTAAAAGTGCGCAGGTTGCTAAACACAACATGTATTTATGTGAGTGGTGTAAGATTTAAATGACTTAATTACATAGAAGATCAATGCCAGGTCATTGAACCAGGCCAATAAAAATTAGGGCAAATAACTCTGCTCCAGACCTAGTAATATAATTACTGTCGATACCCATTTTACCATATTCAGTTATGTAGTAAAAAAACAGAACTTCTTTAAAATCAAGATCAAATTTTCCAGTCACTTCACGAACTTTCTTTTTTCCTTTTAAAATCATGATAGAACTGAGTGACATGTTAGCTATCATATGACCTAAAGAGGAAAAAGTGGAAATATCAGAAAAATAAAAGCATAGCAATACATATTTTGAAGGAAGTTTTTATAATCTGTGTACATAGCAACTATTTACTTAAAATCAGAGTATTTTTATATTACTGAAGTGATGCACAAATAATAAATACTGTTTCGGCATTTAAAAAAAAAGCCTCAAGATCAATTAAGTCATCTCCTATCAAAGTGGCTGTCCCAGGATTAAATAATTTTTCTTTGCTTTCCTTGTGGAAATCCATGAATACAGAAGGCACTACAGCCCCCAAAAGTCACTAGTGGCAAGTGATAAGCAGATTATATAGCTTTTTGGTGAAATTTAACAATATTCCATCTTCAGAAGGCTGTGCTTACACATTGTGTACTAAGACATTTTTGAGACATTTCAGATCACTTAATTTAGACAATAACTCAAAGGCTCCAACGCTTAAAGCAGGCACCTGACCCAGGCTAACAAATCATACCACATAAAGTCTGAAGAGTTTTCCAACTCTGTAGAGAAACAGGTAGCTCTGAAGTAAAGGGTTTAAGAAGAGGCATGCTCCTCTATCATCTATAAGGTGCCCATAAGGTGCCTCAGTGTTCCTGATCAGGAAAGCACCTTGGTCCAGCCAAGAAAGTATTGGCAAAGGACTCTCTTTTGCAGATAGGCACCTGCTGGAAGGAAGCAAGAGACAGTGGCTGTTGCATCTCAGAGTCCTTGAGGCAGAGTGGCTCAAAGCCCTCCTCAACCTGAGGCAGCTTGAGTCTACTCTCCCTTCTTTAAGGAGAATGCCTTAACTACTACAATATTTGCTGTTGCTAATCCCAAGCTTCCTCTAAAACCCTCAATGTTGAAGAATCAGTGAAAGACAGAGAAAGAACAAAGAAGATAAAAATCTGTAGTCTTCAGAGAAGGTAGGAAGATGTACAATGTCATAGTATCACATGGGAAGTTTTTGTATTTCCTTTAGCTATATAAGTTATTGCTTGCAAAGTAAACCACTCAATATTAGGAAACAAATTATCTTATTCAGCATCAGATTGTTACACATCCCCCGATGCAATCCAAATACATTTTTCTACTGAATTATCTTTTTATTTAGAAAGGATGGAGGGAAAATAAAAGGTTGTTTTTGAGATAGATTCAAGTGCCTAAGAGCAGAATAGCGAGAAGGCACTATGTCTGGCAAAGGTACCTATTCCAGCCATTTCTCACTCAGATGAGCACCACAATGCTCACCAATGTTGCAGCTACATCCTTCCTTTCACATACACTCCTCCCTTTCAGGTACACAAGATGATCTTCTCCAGCCCAGACTACATCTGTGATGCACCACTTAAAATTCCTCAGTGGGATGAAATACCTCCACTCTGATCTGCGGCCTCTAGCAATCACCTGTCAGCTCAGTTTAGCTGGCTTAAATTCTTTCACTGATAGACAATACAAGATACTCAGGATTTAGCAAAAATTTCTCCTGAAGTACTTCAATTAGAATCCTCAGTATACAAGTCCTCTGCATAGCAAGTCCCAGAGCCTGCCTGTAGTCATCATCAATGCAGAAACCGCAGCTTCTAATTCAAGGCAGCACCACTTAGAAAATTGGCTTTAAAACCCTGAAAAGGGAAATAGAAATGTCAAAGCTGGGTGGGCCTAAGTCCCTGACAAGCACAGGTGAAAATTTCCTTGAAAGCTAGACTTCTGGTCCAGCACAGAGGATTGCATATGAAACGGTGCCATTATTTACAAAAGACTACACTCTATTGGCAAGCAAATTCTAAGACTATGTTCTAACCTGTAAACACAAGTGGTAATAAAGAACTGGACAGTGGTTGAAATTATCCTTCCCCTCTCCAGGCACCTCAGGTTGGCTATCCTAGGA